TAGAAAATTCTTGAGTTCCCTTTCCATCGCATCAACCAATTCTTCCAAACAATAGTTAGTCTCATATGCACTTTTGTCAAAATCTGGTGATGATGAACAACTTTTCATATGCTCCTAGTTATAATTATTCACATCTTCATGTATTTTTCCATGCTTTACCTAACACTTATAACTCTGATCAATTTCATACTTAAACAAGTTGAGTTCACATGTTTCAGGGGAAATTGACCTCACATTACCGCAACTTAAACAAGGGCAAACAATTTGCCCATAGTCTTTTGCATTATTTACTGCAAACTTAACAAAGTCTGCCACCTCATCTCAATATTCTTTAGATAAATGGTTGGCAGACATTCACTCCTTATTCATAATTAATGCCCTTGTCTAAGCAAGATAATAAAGATAGAAAAGCATTCAGTGGGTCACAAGTTGATTATTTAAAAAAAATTAGACAATTTCAGCGGCATAACAGCTTAAAATAAGTGTTCCTTAAGCCTTATTCTCTATTTATACTAATTTAATCAAGAAAAATATTAAACTACTTAAAAGAAAACTCAAATTTCTTCTATATAATTGCAAAATAAAAATTTGAAAAAAATTTCGGCAGCATAACGACATAAAATTGAGCACTTCCTGAGCTTAATGCCCTCTTTTCACAAATCCAATATTAAAATAACAATAATTTCAAACTAACATACACATATATCAATCTCAAATTAATTTTAGAACAAAACTTTATAAGCTTTATAAGCTTGTAATGTGGCTAAGGGTAGAAGGCAATTGATTGCAAAATATCACCAAAGCTCATTTTAAATAATAGCCACAAGTACTCACAATTCAACTACAGAGTGAGCTATTTCAATTAGACATAAATATAAAATGAAAAATATGTTGACAAGATAATCAACTATGCATATTTACAAAGGCCTTCAATCGTTTGAACAAAATAAAATTAACAATAGAGTATCCAAAGTCTCAGAACAGTCAAACCAAAAGATGCACCATGGATAATCATATGGATAAAAAATTCCCAATGTATATCAATACTAATTTTTAATGATGAAAGCAACCTTAATATCAATAACACTCAATTCATTCAAGTTTATAAATTTACATAGCTAAATTCTATTTTACAAGCTAAATCACACTATCTCTTTGCTCAATCCTATTTTATAGAGCTAAATTCGCTGAAATAACAATCTCAAGTTTCTAAATTTCAACTATTTATCAACCCAAAGTATAAAGCATCAATAATTGCAATTAGAAAGAAAAAAAGAAAAAATTAATTACCTCATAAGATCACATGATATGGCTGTTCTGAAAGCAAGAGGACTTGGATTAAGGCCACGGGAATAGCAATAGCTGGTGGGAGAAGTAGCAATGAGCCACAAATTGAAGTACAAGCACAACACAAGCATGAGTGAACCAGGAGGTTGGATTGGCAATATTGGAAGTAAGCTCCAGGGACCTCAAACTAGAATACAACTACGGCCTTTGAGAGCTGGAATGAGGACGACCACCACAGTTCTTCGATAGAGAACCAGAGCTTAGGGTATTCATATATGGGAAGAGGCCACTATACTAGCGATGAGCTCACGAAACAAGGAAAGAAATGTAATGAATGCAGTGAAGATGGAGACGACAATAGTGATAGGCTGATAATGGGCTGGGACGAGCTCACAAGGCAAAGAGCTTAAAGCCAACAATGGAGGGATTAGGGGTTTTAAATTGGAATGGGAAAGTCTGGAAATTTATTTGAATGACAGAGCACTGCTGTGCGAGCTCTCTGCTGTGTTGTACATAAGGCGTGTTGCAGAAGCCAACATATTCAACGGTTATACATTGAAACCGTTGAATATACTTAACGTGTGTTGTACTTAAGGTGAGCTCTCTGCTTTTTTTATATATATGGTGCATAGATATTCAACGGTTATCTATTTAAACCATTGAATGTAATTTTCCTTTAAAAAAATTACTTTGTTTATATATATATATATATATATATATATTAAACGGTTATAGCTCACCGTTGCATAACTATGTGTCAAACGTATATATATACACTGTTAATATATAGCTTAGCCATCCATTGCATATTTATATATATATAAGAAGACCCTTAATTATTTAATAATTAATATACTAAATGGTTAAATGAATATAATTGTTGAGTATATATCCATATACTCAACAGTTATAATTAACCATTCCATATATATTAAAAAAATACAAAAAACTTAGTCAAATAATTAATATATTAAACTGTTAATTATAAAAAATGTTGAGTATTTAGACAAAATAATTCATGATTTTTATACATTATCCGTTAAGTAAGTTTTTAAAAAGATAAAAAAAATTATTCAAAGAATTTATATACTCAACGGTTTTTCATATTAACCATTGAGTATTTACATTTACATACTTAACGGTTTTTTAGTTTAATTATTGAGTAATTTTTAGGAGGAAAAAATTCATTTATTCATATACTCTACGGTTATATGTAAAAACTGTTGAGTATTGATCTACATTATTTAACACTTTATTTAATAACCGTTTAATATGAATTTTTTGGTTTTCTGCCTATACATATTAAACGCTTTTAATATTAACCGTTGAATAAATCTTGTTATATATAGCTATTTTTGTAGTAGTGATACCAACAAAACGTTTTTCTCTTTTATTTTTTTTAGTTTCGATATTTTATTTAGTAATTTGGTTTATTATTTAATTTTGTTGTAAATAGTGATTTTTAATTTTCTTTTCATCTTTTAGTGTGCCTTTAATTGCTTATTTTGTTTGTATTATTTTAGATGACCTTGAGATTGCATTTGAATAAGTATGGAACAACATTAAAAATGAAGAAAAATTATAAAGAGAAATATGCCACGGCAAATTTCTATAGTAGAGCTCTCATACAAACACTAGAATAGGAACCTGCCATAGCAATTTTTGTTGTCAAAACTCACAACTCCATTTTCAATTAGATAAAAGAGGGAAGGTTTTTTCAAACTAGTCTTTGATTTGGATGTTCTCTAAAGTTCTTAAGGTGATTTTGGAGATCTAGGGATGATTTTGGAGGTTTAAAGGAAGAGAACTTATCACTATTCACACCTTCATTGAGTTTTCCATCATTTTTCTCCTTCTTTCTTTTATGTGTCCAAATTTGAACAATTGTTATGCTGTTTTTACTTTTTATTTAGTTGCATGGTTGAACTTTGATACTCTAGAGTGTTATGAACTTATTTGCTCTAGTTTTATTTTGATTTGCGAATCACTTTATGATTATCAATGGATATTTTATATTTTATTTTCAATTTTGTTTTGTGTTATTGCTTGATGATTGACCATTATTAGGTGATAATTTGGGAAAATAGGTTGAACTTAGGAAAGAAATTTTTATTTGGACTTTTGAAATTGAATGCTAAGGATTAAGTATAATTAATTTGTCTCTCAGACAAGAATGCACCTAAAGGGCCTTAGTAGCAATTGCGAAAAACCACCATGTATTTAGTCATACTCAAACTTGCTACTACTAATAGTTGGAGTCGTCTTACAGCTACCAAATTTTGCTGCCAATGCTTGGCAGGATAAGTTTGGCAACTTTTGCGCCTTTACAAATCTCTACCAAATTGAAATTTTGAAAAGAAAAAAACAATAAGAATGGGCGAGAGAGAAAAAAGAGTCACGAGATAGTGAAAAAGAAGAGAAAGTTAGGAGTATTGAAAATATAAATTTATAATTAACTATATATTCTTTCCATCTTATTTTATAAGATACTTTTGAAGAATATTCAGTTTTAAAATATAAAGACACTTTGATAAAATAAAAATTTTATTAATTATACTTTTTTAATATTAACTTCCATTATATTCTCCTATTTTTTCACAATTAGAGTATTAAATAAAGAACATTTTTAAAAGTTCATATTTTTGTTTTTAAAAAATAAAGTTGTAAAGTGTATTTCATAATTTTTATTAATGAATGGTTGCTTCTAAAAATGTTTTATAAATTGAGACAAAGGTAGATAATACTTCTTTTGGTCCTTATTATAGAGTGCTTTCTAGAATGATCTTTTTTTATCTTAAATATAAGATACTTGATAAGATATTTATATACATTTTTTCAGTATTATTTATGTTTAAACTCATTAGTTTTTAAAGAGAATGTAATGAAGATTTGAAAATTTTTATTTAAATATGAATAAAATTGGGAGTTTAATGTATTTTCGAACAAAGTTAATAATTTAATTATAATTCCTTAATTTCAATGAGATAGATGTGTATTGTAATAGGAATCAAAGAGACTAATTAATTTTTAGAACATTGGCCCCCCAAACTTTCAGTGAGTTAATAATTTTCAAACAAAGCACTTGCATTGCTTGTGGAGTTGTCACCCATGATTCCTAACTTGGTACAAATATAGAAAGAACACCAAAACCATAAACATCTTTTCCATTTATTGTACCCTATACCTTAATCCCACGATTTATACGGTTGCAAAGAAAAAAATTGAAATGAATTCTCACAAAACTGCCCTTTAACTTTTGTTTCATTCATTTTTGATCAAGCATGAATTTTCAAACATTGAAATCCTACAACTTTAGTGTGAACACTCACTGGATGAGAGGATATGAAACACTTAGAACTCAAATCCTAACAAAATATTTTTTATATACCAAAACCTTATTTAGCGAAATAAAACTTGTTTTCATTGTTACAACTGGAAGCTTAAAGTTTAAAAACAACCACGAAAATATAAACTATAAACAATCAAAATGTTACCTTATGCACATATGACTATTTTTGGCAAAAGAAAACATAACCCTTTAGAATAGGATTTGAATCTTCGTCAAACTTAGAGATATGCAATCAATGTTTTGATAAGAAATTAAACCTACAAGTCATCTTCCAATCTTCACATATCTTATTTCTTAGCTCTAATCTCTGTCATTTTTGAGGTATGAGTTTGGTAAGATCAACGATGTAGGCCGACACTGTATCATGGCTCAAGGATTAGAATCCTCCTGTGTCACTTACAGATGGACTTATGACGTGTTTCTTAGCCTTCACAGTGAAGGTACTCACCTCACTTTTGTCAGCCATGTTTACGATTATCTGTATCAGAGGGGAATTCATGCCTTCATTGATGATGAATCCCTCCATGCAAGTGAAGAAATCCGACCATCTCTGTTCAAAACCATCAAAGGATCGAGGATTGATATCATAGTTTTCTCCAAAAACTATGCATCCTCAACATTCTGTCTAGATGAACTTGAAGAGATTGTTGAGTGCTTCAAAGAAGGTCAGTTGGTGTGTCCTGTGTTTTATCACGTGGAACCATCAGAGGTGAGATATTAGAGAGGGACTTTTGGAGAAGCTTTGGCTTATTTGGAAGAAAGATTATTGGGAGACAATATTGATGACAAGTTGCAAAAACAGAAATGGGCTTTGCCTCAAGCTGCTAACTTGACTAGCTAGCACCTCCAACCTAGTATTGCATTTTTCTAATTTTCTTGTCATTATTTTGAAAAGGGAAAATTGATCATTTGATGCTTGCAATTTTGACTCAATTATAATTTGGTCCTTTAATTTTGACTTATTATAACTCAATCTCTAAAGTTTTGACTTAATTGTAACTCAATTTTTAAATTTTGACTCTTGCAATTCAGTCTTTATATTTTTAATCATTTAAATATTGGTCCCTAAATCTTAAAAATTAAAATTAAAAAAATTAAATTATGTTAAAATTTATGACTAATATTTTAAATTACTAAATCTTTTAATCTTTATAAATATTAAAAGTTTAAAATATTTGTAATCTTTATAATTTTATTTTTTTAAAATATAGTGACCAATATTTAAATAATTGAAACTATAGGGATTGAGTTGTAAGAGATAAAGTTCAGGGATTGAGTTATAATCAAATTAAAAATATAAGGACTAAGTTATAATGAGTCAAAATTCAGGGACTGAGTTATAACTAGGTCAAGATTATAAGGATCAAAATAATTAATTTTTCTTAAAAATTCAAAATAGTTTTAATACAGTACTATGTTTAATTAACATATTTTTATGATATTATAAAAATAACAAGTCTTATATGCTTAGCTTTATATACTTAATATACTGCTATCAAATTAAATTAAGACAAGTAAATTTTAATGTGTTAATAATACTAATTATAAAAGTTTGTTATGGAATATATATTTTATGAGAGATCTCTAAACATCTTGAATATATAAAGAGGGTATATAAGTTTTTGCTTATAAAAAAATTGATTTCTTTTTTGTTTTCATTTTTGGCCATGTCATAAAGTTGATTGATTTAATAATTTTAAAATTTTAAACACAATTATTTAAACTTATTTGTTAAGTAATATTTAAAGATAATAAAGAGTAAACCGGTAAATATGATTTGTGTTATATAATTTTTAATAAATAAATTTTAAATTTTAAATTTTCTAAAGACTATTGACACGGGCCTTTTACAGATATACATGTTATATAACCAAACTAAGAAAACATATCAACATTTATTATATTTTGTATTACAACTAGTTTGTTATATTTGTCAATAATATACGGTTGCATATTAATGATAAATTCTTTATAAATTTTTAAATTTTAAATGGTAAAATTATTGTATATTAATGTAAACCATCTACATTCCCAAATTTTCAAAAATTTAGTCCATATTTTCTAGGCATAAGATTTTTTTTGTCAATGGACCAATTTATCCTTTTTTTTTTCAATGGTGTTAGTATATTAAACAAAAGATATGCGTCTTTAAAATTGAGAAAAAGCCGGTTTGCAACGAATTATTGGCAAAGGCAGAACTAATTACTTAACATAGATAGGTGACAGATCTAGAAATTTGTATGTTATAAAAATTTATTATTATATTAAAGGAATTTCCTTTGCTCCTAATTTTTCTTCTTATTAATTTTAAGACTTACGTTATTAAAAATTTTATGACATTATAAAATTGATATTAATATTATACATTAAAATTTCTTAAATTTTTTTCGAACTTCTATATTAATTAATATTTTAAAATAATGAGGGGGAAATTGATAAACATGATTTGTGTTATTATAATTTTTGATTACTAAATATGTTTTGGAATTTTAGTTAGAATATTATTTTAACATAATTAACATATTACATTTAAATATAGTTTTTTTAAAAGAAATAGAGAAGATTTATATAATAAAAATAGAAAACAATTACATATAAATCTTGTGGAGTAGATTTATTTACCAATAAGTTTGCAAAATTCAAAAACCACAACCAAGTTTCTTGAGACCTGAGTGTAATTTAAAATTAAATTATAAAGACAATAATATCCCTTTTAAACAAATATTACATCAATTAATAATTAATTTATAATTACTTTATCAGCAATACTTACACCTATACTTCACTTTAATGATACTGGGGTGTTCACACTAAGAGAACATTTCCATTAGAGGCAAACTTCTTGTCCATCACTTTTGAATTTCACATTTGTAATACCTACCTCTCTTTATTATTATTATTATTTTTTTGTTATGGTCTTCAGAAATCCAGTTAGGAATTTTGAAATAGGTTTGAATTGGGACCTGCGTGATCTTCAATTTTATGAAGCTACGTAGGATTTGATTTCATTTATATATTTTTCCAGACAAAAATTGGGTCCCAATAGAAAACTCTATAACCTCCATGAACCCACACGTAGAAAGCAATTTTGCAAGAGCATGCTCCAAGAAGCAGTCAATTGCTGAAATTCTCATGGTGGCACCTAATGAGTTGATTGAAATTTTCTAGACACCAGTAATATTATTGCGTGCAAGAGTTAAGTTGTTGCTTTCCTTTTTATGCAAAATAAAAAATAATATTGATTAATTTAGTTGGTTTTAACTTTTAAACTTTTTAGCTTGTGAGAATTTAGTTTTGAACATGGTTTTGTATTGCAGAGAGGTACACAAAGAGAGAGAGAGAGAGTATGGCAACTTCAAGCAAATCTTTTACATAAGCATCTATTGAAATATCTACCAAGATATATTTTGATTATTGTTTTGTTATTCACATAAATCCTGTTATGTGTTCTTTTGCATCTATTTTGACTTGATTGTTAGTTTCTTATTTATTGAAAAGTAGGTAATAGATGCTTTGTTTTGGTGCAAATGCTGTTTCAAGTAATTAATAATTTGAATGAAAATTTCATTATATTAAATCTCTTATTATATTGAAAAATTTATCTCTTATTGTACTAAATTCTTATTTCATTAAATTACATTAATTTAATTTTTTATATATGTATTTAAAATGTTATTTTTTCCAACTTATATATTTAATTTTTTTATAAATTACTAAATAAATAAGTTTACATAAATAAAAAAAATATAATATGAATTTAAAAATTAAAAACATATATACGAATTAGCTTAAATGAATTTTACACAACGTTTATGTTTAAAAATGAGTAGTATCTAGTTAAACTTATGTAACTTATTAGTTAATTAATAGCTGAGTAACTTAAAATAAAATCCTTAGATATAGGTTTTATAAATAGAATGAAGGATGATCAAGGTAAAATATAAATGGGTTGATGTATTTTATTGAAAAATATTAATATGTAATTCTCTTTGATTCAAATAAATAGTGTTTCAAAAATTAAAGTCTTAGCAAAATAATTTTAGCTTTCAATAAATAATTTGACATGCATAACGAAGTGCAATAAAAGATAAAATAAAATGAAAATATTTCTGTCAATGAAAGTAGTCTTTTTGTCATTAAAATTTAAATAACACTGTCTTATAGTTATATGTCCAATGATTGATCTATTTATATAAAAATTATCACAATAAAAATAAAATATATTAAACTATGTTATACCCTTTCATGTGTTAATAATAATTAATTATTTATTACTTATGCTAACAAAAATTACTTTTATATATCCCGTGCACAGGAAATTAACATGTTAAAACATCAAATTTCATTATATATAAATATTTATTTTAAATAATAAGGTTATTATTATTATTCATATGAAGTTAAACTTTTTTTTCTCCCATTTCTTTTGCTCAACCAAGCATAAAGAGAAAAAATTACATCCCTTTAATTTTTTCTTCTTTCCACTTTCTCTCCTTTCATTTTCTTTTCTTCATATATTTTCCTGAGCCAAGCATTGCATTAATTTCATGTTTTAAGGGAACAAGTGAATATTTTTGGAATGTTGGGAGCAAATGAAATTTTTAAGTGGGAAAGCCAAAAAATTTTAGGATTATAATATTAGGTTTTTAATATTAGAATTGAAAAGGGCAAAACCTGCTGGCATTTCAAACAACAAGAGCATTAGTATTCATCAATAAATTCCAATTAAAGCTAGAAAAATAGACCCTCATGCATGGCATATATATGTATGTATACATATATACATACGCAAATATATGAATATTCTGAAGCATGCATATGCATAGCATACATTAGAAAATGAGTACTTGACTAGCATTTTAAAGAGACAGATCACTTTAGTAATCCACTACATCAACATGAATGGAAATTTGTGTGCTCATCATGTTAGGAAAATCATATACCATGATTATGTAAGAGAAAATTGAAAAAATATCTAAAAGCTTAGAACTAGCTGCATCTAAAATGCACAAATATCACAGCATCAAAATTTTTTCAAACACAGCATACCCCATTAGTAAAAAAAATTAGTCATAAGTATGTATTTATATATAATGAAGCACGTAGTAGCCAAGATATCCAAACTTGATTGTGAAAATCAAGAAGAACATTAAACAAGCATCAAATGAACAAAATGGGTCATTGGAGGTATATTTTGCAATATTACACTAGTTATGAATTCTATTAACTAATGTCCTGTGTCAACACTCATTACCTTTGTATTAGCATTGTTATGTATTCATTAATTTTTTGCAATATCAGATTCAAAAGGAACATATTGGTTTTCTCCTTAATCACATAACCATGTTTTTCTAAGATTCCATTTTTAGATTTTTACAATGCTAAGAGAGAATAGTCTTTCTGTTTTTGCACTATTAAACTCATTCAATAGGTCTCACATGATCAAGTAAAGCAAGGTGTAGAAGAATAGTCACATTGAAGAGAAGAGACGTTGTGCAGCACATAGCTCATAAGCCATAATTCAAGGAAAATGTAACATAAATGTACTCAAGTATTAGATTTATGAGGCATCAGGACAAAATTTACTTAGTTGTATCAGCATATGATAGAGCAGATTCAAATGTAATGGTTGTTCAAAACCAACAATTTCCTTAGTTGTAGCAACCTCAACACACACCTTAGGCTCTGTATTTTATAACAACAACTATA